GCAGGCCGGGGCTGGTGCCGTCTGTGAGACGGGCTTACTCGGTCACCTCTGCTGGGAGGTCACCGTTTTCTCAGAAATGGTCACTAACCCAAGCGAAAGCCCCGACGGGCGGTAACCGTTCCTTGCCACGAGGAGAGCAAAACGGCGGGAGCTGCAGCGAACAGCAGCTGGTGCCTCCCTTGCACGAACTCAGAGCCGTAAACTTAGGCGTGCTATTTTACAGGTGGTTTTCTTGGACTGCAGCTGGGAACAACAGTTAGAGTGAGCGGCCTGGCCCCGCGCGAGGACTCTTCGAGCAGACCTTTCCAAGACACCAGCCCTTCCTAATCAGAAATTTGGACTGCGGGTCGTCTTTTAATGTTACTGTTGAACTGTGTGCAACCAGCGAGTCGTCTAGAGGGCTGGAAATGTATGTTTTGCGCTGGGCAGTTTGAAGGCTGTGCCATTTTAACTCAAACCGAATGTGAGGCGATTTAATGTGCGCGAGTGTGTTTTCATACTTTTTTGTAATCGGGAAACAATAATGCAGCTGGTGAGTTTTACAGGAATATATTGCTGACACCACTAGGAAAAACTAACAGAGTTTTATAATATGTTTACAAATGAGCTATTTTTAAATTGTTTTTGAATAAATACTGCTTGGTACTTGTACACATTAATGTGTGCTATAGTTCTCTGGGTCCGTGATGGTCAGTAGATCACTGAGCTTCACATTATCCATCTTCATTTCTAAATGGGTGGATGCAGAGGTGAACCGTTGATGGATAAATAATATTGGTGCCTTTTTTCAGAAACAATAATAGGTGAGAATATTTCAGGAATGTGAAACAGTCTTTATCCTAACAGGCAATTCTCTCTTAGCCTTAGCCTACTAAAGTTAGAAGCTTTATGTACCTCACTGTGAAATAAAACATTTTTGTATATTAATCTAGATTCCGTGTTTTGTGTAGCTGAGTGAGTAATGCTGAAGTTAAACCCTTATGCAGTAGTATATGATGTTTGAGTTGGTTTTGTTTTAATTAGAATTTTACTTTTGTTTTTAGAGCAATGCTAATCATTTTATGATCGGTTGCTCTCTACTTTCTTGGACTTTCCCTAAATATTTACAGAATGCGGTTCTGTTACTATGAAATATGGTGGTTTAGTTTACATTAATAATTCTCTCTGTGTGGTCTAGAAATGAGCTAATTAAAAAGGTCCAAACTGTGGTTACACTTTAAATGCAAATGTTTTTAGATGGAGTTTGGTAAATTGTTGAGACCGTTGATACTACTTCTGCTCCTCTGAATTTAATGTGCAACCTCGGATGAACTCTTGTGGAACTGAATGGTTTGAAGGAAGTCTTAGTGGACTATGGAGACATTCATCTCAATATCATGCATTCATTGCTGACCTGAGGTGTTCGTGACTACAAGTTGTTTTATTACCATAATTGCAAGTAGGCGATTTGGGGTTTTTTCTTTTTTTCTTTTTTCTTTTCTTTTTTTTTTTTTTTTCAGATGAACAAGTGTTTACAAAAGACACCATAGTAACTGGTACCTTCAATTGGAGTTCAGTGGCTGAATGGAGAGAACAAGACTCTATGTTCTGAGGGATTTTTGTTCAATCTTTAAATTCAAATGGGAGGAAAGGAGAGAGCGTAGGGTTCATTTGCCTTAATCTTTGCCTTTTAAATGGAGGAAAAAAATCAGAGTTAAGTCTTGATTCTTGAGTCAGTAGCAAAAAGTCCTTTGGGATTTCATTTTGACAGGCAGCAGTTTTCATGAATATCAGGGGCCAAACTCGATTGTCAGTGTATAGATTAAAATTCCTAACTCTTAGAGATACAATGTTTAATGGAATTGAAACTGAAGGAATCCAGGATCAGGTTTTATTTTTTGTTAAGAATCTTAAATTTCTGTTCTTTTGGACCCTTGGGTGCTTTTGGCCATTTATGACTGACTGTGGAATACACCACTGTTTGTTGTTAGAAATGCAGTGGGGATTATTGAGTAAAGCTGTGTATCACACTAACGTTAGCTCTATCACTGGATATTCTTCCAATGGGAGATGCATAGATGCTGTACATGGTTATAATCAATTATGTCAATAAATCCATTTGCTGAAAGAAAACTGGTGTCTTAGATTGTATCTCATAATGCATCGCTCTTCAATCACAGACTGGCTGTAACTTCTTTATACTACTAGCACTGCTGTTTCTTAGGACTGCAGAGAGTGCCTCATCGTTCATTCTGTCAGGTATTTCACCGTACATTATGTTTTCTATTTTGGTTGTAATATGTTTGGATAGTACAAACACTAAAGTTATTAAAATGGTCAGTTCTGAAACAGGTAGACCACTGTCCCAAGATAGTCTAATAAGGTCCTGTTACATCGGTGAACTAATGATCCTTTCTAAGCTAAATAAGAAATGATGATTGTTTGGGATAATACAATTTTTTTATACTCACTGGAAGTTACAGTTCTGAGGGGTTTTCAGTATTATCAGGCTAAAGATATAGCGTATGGAGCATATACGTGTTGTTCTAATTAATAATTCACTGCTGCTTTTTGAATTTATACAAATGTCTGGAGAATTGCTAGAATGAAATGGCTCTTTGCTCCAGCCTGGGAGAGGTAAATACATAGATCAACACAACAACAACAACAAAAAGATGGTTAACAGAATGAAGTTGATGACTTAGAAGTCACACGTACTGTAACTCCAGGATTACTTAGGCTTTGTGTGCAGATGTTACTTACAGCTTTTTTGCAGGGGGGGAGCTGTACTAGCGGGTGGTTGAGGAAAGAAATATCAGTGACATTCAACGAATGATATAAATATTACATGGCTCTATTTTTACCAGTAGTAAAGTATTTATATTTGTGTCCTTTTTAAAGTAAGGTCCTTTCTAAAGAATGACTGTACAAACAGCCCTTCTTAAATGGATGAATCTGCCATCAATTTGTGCTCAAAATGTTTGTCCTTCTAGCAGAAATAGAGTTTTGCTGCCCTGTCCCCTCCTGGAATCCATGCAGCTTGGATGCACTGGAAAAGTGAACTGAGTGCTGTTCTCCTGCTAAGTAATTATCGGGCATGTTATCTATCAAAGATAGAAAATCACCCAAATATTGTCCCATCAAATTAAGTGGACTGCTGCTGGGGGGTCCGCAAAAGGTACCGGGGCTTCCCTGGTGGCAGCACTGCTTGGTTCGGCAGCCTCTGCCCACCTCCTGCTCCCCCCCACAATCCCTGACCCTTTGCTGCAGTCAGCTGGCACGGTTGTTTGTGCAGCTGGAAGGTGAACTGCAAAATTGATCCTCCTGGAAAATAACCTTTCCTAGTACCTCCCCTCTCCCATATTTTTCAGCCAGCTCCGTTTCTTTGATTCTGTTCAACTTGTACAAGTATTGGAAGTGGCAAAATGTGGGGGTGCAGTGCAGAGGCAGGAAAAAACAGTCAAAGATGGGAAACTGTTTAAACAATCTCAAGTAGTCTTGTCAGCCAATGTGTCCGCAGCCTAAGAAAACCTAGACTATTCACGTTAGATGAAAATCCTATGTAGAGTATATACCTTTACTGGAAAATCGTTAATGAT